TATATATATATATATATATATATCTAAATTTAAAATAGTTGTTTGTAATGCATGTGACTTTGCTGAAACTCTATGACTTGTGAGTAATGAGATTGATGGTTGATAATTATGTGTACACTCTTGGTTATAAGTTGTGGATTATGCACAATGATGAAAGTTGATGAGCATGTGGGATAATTTTGAAATATATATATGAGTTTTTCAAATGCATTTTCTCATGAGCATGATCATATGGCGGGAGTTCGCCTTAGTGAAGGAGTTAGCGGTTATGCAAAATTCATATGGTACTTGGCTATTAACCAATAATCCTAGGGATTATAACCGCTACTTACCTTGTAAGGTACTGTAGCGCATTGTTCCTATTAAAGGACTTGACCCTATTGGCCCACCTAGAGTTTTGGGTAGAGCTAGTTTTGGGTATGACACCCTATAGTATGTGATTTGGGGAAAATCGTGTTCATAAGTGAGTAAGGTAACCCTGACCCAGTAGCCCCTCATAATATGATTAAAGTTTTGGGTAGTCTTACCACATGGATGATCCCTTCCAGTTGTTGGCCCACGAATTTCATATCAGAGGAAATAAGTGGGGATATAAGGAAGACATTAATCATGCATATTATTATTATTATGCCATTTGAGTAATTGATGGCTATGTTGAGAATATGATTATAATTGTAGAAATGAGGACATGTAGTAATTATGCGAATAATGTATATGTGGCTATTTGTGCAAATTTTATTCTTGATTTTATTCTTGAAATTATTTACATGAGTTAAATGTTAATGTGATTAACATGTTATTAATTTGATTGTTTGAATGGTCATCTTGATAAATTTATTGGTCATTTGCATTCATGATTAATTATCATTCATTTGTATAACTTAGATATACCTTGATTACTGAGTGGTTGTACTCACCCCTCTCTTTTAACATATTACAGGAGCTAGCTCATCTGAGAAGAACAAAGGAAAGGAACATTAGGCTAAGTGATAATAATCACTTCTGTAGGCCTCTCTCCTTTTATTTGATATGTGTATTTAGTTTATGATATTGCCATCTAGGATAATATATTCTTGATCCACTTGCATTATAGGTTTTGTGTTAGAAAAAATGTATTTTAGGCCTTAGGGAATGTGGTTTGATGCTTATGCTATAATTATGGGCCAAAATATTTGTGTAGGTAAAAATAGTTATTATCATGCTTCCGTATATGTTTAATTAAATTATATGAGTTCTTAAAATATTTTAAAGACTTGGGATCCCTTTGTATTAAATAATTTGTAAAAAAAAATGCATGTTAAGAATTCTTTTAGGTTAATCTCGTAATGAATAATCCATTTGGGTTAGTTCTTGATTAACCATGATTAGTGTGATGATTAAGTCCTAATTTAGGATGCCCTTTACAATAATTGGGGAGGAAACTAGATAGGTATAATGTTGAGCACTAATACTACTATCAAATAGTATCAAAATTAATAAAAAAATATATCTTGCAATAAAGCATGGCCTCGGTTGTCTCTCTAAAAGTTAATAGATTAACTAATGGAATTAGAATTGTAAAAAGCTAGATAGTAGAGGGAATTTTTTATGACAAAATTAATTAAAAAAGTTAAATTAAAATTAAATAATTAAAACAAGTTCAACTGAGAAAATTATCAAGTACATGCAGTACAATCAATTATAATACAATCACCTAAACTTAATCTTTTTCATTTACAAAATAAATTAAATTTATTTAACTTTATTATTTTGGTTTTATTATATATGTTCTCCAAATTATTATTCATGAATTAAATAAGAAATTAAGTTATGAATCAATTAAAGTCTCTTTTAACCCACAACCTAACAATTATTTTTATGTTAATCACACCAAAAAAAAGGTATGAATAATCACCAAAGCCAAGCCAAAATGATCTTATAATGCCATATCAGTTGATTACAACAAGCAGAACCTCAAATAAAATATGTAGCCCAAAAATCACACAATAAAACTACTATAATCAATAATAGTAATTAAAACATGAAATTCAAAGGTAGAGAAAAAAAGAATAAACTAAAATAAAGCTAAAATAAATTATTCCCTAAATATCAATGACTTTGATTGATCATACCAATAAAAATTAGTTGTTCACAATTTTAAAAATTAAACAGCATAGCATGAGAAAATGAGAAGCCATCTGTGACAAAGTCAGAAATTTTATCGAGGTTAAAATATTTTAGAAGCTTCTGGAATGATCCAAATGAGATTAAAGAGATTCAGAACAATCAAGAAGGCGCTAAAGACTTTTAGAATGCACTGGTATGACTTCATAAGACCCCAATATCTCTAAAAAAGTATTGAAAGTACTTGAAGTATATAAATTATTTTAAGGATATCTTCCTTTTGTACATTCTAAAAATATTCTTGTAAATATTAATATATTTTTGATATATATTAAATGTACACCATTAGATTGAATTAATTTCATTAATGAGGTGAAAACTTTTTAGAAAAAAGGAAAACCTATAAACACTTTTCACCTCTCATTTGTAAGCATGAAGCAAAACAAGCAAATTAAGTTTTCTCTTAAACTCTCTTTTCTCTCTGGCGTACCAAGTTCTTTAGTTTTTTTGTTTATATTTTGAAAATTTGATTGACTTAGTCAAGATTAAGAGATTAATTATGTTAAGATTGGCAAGGTTCAAGAACAGAAGAGTTTAAAGGCCTAACACATCGCACAAGAAAATTGAAGAAAAGAATAATAGACGAAGAGCTATCGCCACGTATGCCTCTCCTCCTTCAATTAATTCAAAATTGTTGCGTCTTGTGCTGCGATTCTTCTTATTCCATTCAGATTGATTTGTGCGTGCATTTTCAGCATAAATATAGCCTAATAATTTGATGAAAATGACAGAACTACCCTTAATAATTATAATTGAAAAATATATTAAGAGACCCAAAATAAATATAAAAAATTGAAATAAAGTTTTTTAAATTTGATTATTGACTTGATCTTTAAGTATACTTTTATTATTCTTTTTAAAATAATATCCATCGATATTTTCTAAATTAGATCTAAAAAATTTACACAAATAAAATAAAATTAAATAATGAGTGTGCAAAGACATTAAAGAGATCATTTATATTTTGAATTCAAGATTTAGGTAGTTAAAATCTCAAAATTAAAGATTGGAAAATAAATTCAAATAATATCTAATTAAACTCAATTAATTTTAAATAAATATTTAAAAGTTTAAATTAAAAAAATAAAAATATATGAAATTACTATTTATCAAACACTCCTACTAGCAACCTCTCCCCCCTTGTTTTTTGGCCCTAAACCAATTATGTACTTCTCTAATTCTACTTTTAAGAAAAAGAGAAAAGATTAATTTTAATTATAGTTATAAGGTATTTTACTATTTTCTATATTTATGTTTGCTTTTTTACCCTTCTTAAATATTAAAAAATAATTAAAATAATTTTTTCCTTATTATAAGTAGAAGTAAAAATATATTTAATTTTAAAACATAATTAATCAAACTTAAGGTTTTTCTCAATTATAATGACATATTAAAAGTGACTTATAAATTAAATTGAAAAGAATAATAATATTATTATTATATTTTACGGGCAACATTGAAGTGATTATGTGTGTGTTTAGACCACTTTCCAATTGAGATTTAGGAGACTCTGACCTCAGTTGGGATAAAAAAGCTCATTAAAATATGTTTGAATAAAAAAAAAATTCAAAAGAGCATTTCTAATGAAGCTAGATAAGGGAGCTCTTTTTTTACTCACGTTATAAACATTGGTGGGCATTTATTATCATATTCCTCTATCTAGTTCTTATTTTCTCACCTTACTCGCTCCTTCTTCACTTTAATAAGCACCAGCCATTACCTCCAACGGCATTGCCATTAATTGTATCTATGCTCGCCATAGTTGCTGTCCATAAAGGTCGAGGATCATCATGTTTGCCTCGTCTTTATTGCTTTCCTTCATTCATTGAGATAGAGAGGGAGACAACATATGCAATGATGGTGGGAGAGGGAAATAACACTAGTGGTGGGTAGAGAGAATAGAAGATGGAGGGAATGAGTGTAGAAGGGAGATGATGCTTAAAAGGTTTGTGGAGACGCTTATAAGATAAGGAAGAAATATAAGGTTTAAAGGAAAAGAGGAAGAAGAAGGTGTTCGTAATGTATGTTTTTTAGAGAGAGAGTATGTGTGGCGCTCTAAATTTTAAGGAATAAGAAGATAGTTGTGTGTATTTCATTATTTTATATTTAATTATAATTTATGAATTAAGACAAAGTAAAGAAAGAAAAATATTAAAATCTTGTTTGATTATTTAATTAAAATACACTCCATTTAATATATTCTTATTTGTTAAATACTAAATAGAGGGAGAAAATAAAATAAAGTTAGAATGGAACAAAGTTTGCAAATTGAGACCAAGTTACAGATAATAAGAATTGAATATTTTTAATTTATAAATTTATTTTAAATTTTTTGAATATTTTAAATCTTATTATTTAATTCTACCTTTTTAAAAATTAAGATTTTTGACATATTAATGTATTTTATATTTGTAATTTATTATTTTAAAAATTGTAATTTTAAGCTTCATATTTTTCTTAAAAATATCAAATTAATCAAAAAATATATATAATAAAACTCATATTTATTTTTATCATTATACATCTCAACTGACTTTTAAATTAAATTATTAAAATAAATTTTAATTTATTCAACTAACTTTAAAAAAAAAGGTGAACAAATATAAATTATATTATAATTATAAAATTTTTATTTAATATTAATTTACTAACCTTGTTTGATTTTTAATCTCAATTACAAACCTTTTAATCTAAATATACACTATATCTATTAGCATTATAAATTGACGTTATATATTGATGATTTCCAGAAGGGGCTCGAATTTGTTGATGGACGTTACGATGGTTGTGTTTAGAAAAGGAGCGCGCACTGTGGCTAGAGTCCCGAACTTGGGAAAATGGCGGAAACCCATGTGGTCTCCACTTCTCACGCTGCCTGTGTTTTTCTGATACGCAAATCGTTACGTTCACAATCCGCGCGCGTATGCCTCGTTCTCCTTTCCCAACCAGATTTCTTACAACTACGAACCCTCTGGCTTTCACTCAACAATCTCTTCCTCATTTCAGACTCCGATCTCCACCTTGTAGGTTCGGGCACGCTCTCTCTCTCTCCCCCCTGTTTCCCTTCTTATCATCATTTCCATTTTTGAGACCTTCGTACTCTGTATTATTTACCAATCAAAACAGAGTTGGCTACTACATGTCGAGGATTTTGCACCTTTTTGGTGACACCATACCGAGAAAATGTGCTTAATTACGTGCAACCGATGACTATATCTTTCGAGGATTTTGCAAGCATTATATTTCTTTTTACCGGCTTACTATAGTAATCTCGATTTTTTAATGCTACTATGTTTGCCAAACCTTTTGTACGAATTCAACGTCAAATTTGCCTTATTTTGTCCGCATGTATTACAAATTGCTATTGCTTTCGATTTTTTGGTTTGCTAGGTAATGCAGGCACTCCCACCGCCTGTCAAGACTTCCTTTGGAAAAAAAAAAAATTGCATTCCATCTGCGAATCAAGGATTTATTTAAAACGCAACTGGACCATAATATTGTATTCATAATCTACAGTCAAGTGTTCTAGGACAAGAATTCGCATGATTTAACGAATTATTTCACCAAATATCGGCTTCCACGTTTTTTACGCATGTTGAGTGCGTACGTGTGTTGCAATTGTCTTTTTATGAAAAACTTAATGTCAGTGTTACAACCTTACTTCAGATCGATGCAACTGTTCATTTTAAACGTCTGGCTAACTTGCTCCCGAATTAGGGGTAGATGAGAGACATAAATGTCAAGATCTCAAGGGGACACTCGGAGTAGCTGCTAGCATTGACTTGCAAAAGGATAGGCATGTGCTACGATGATGGTGATATTGCATGCTGCAGTGACTAGGATGCTTTTTTTGGTCCGAAATATAGAAGTCTGCCAATATTGAAGCATTCTAATGTGGCGCCACATTCAGCTAGAGTGAGGCTTGTGGCTATGTTGGAAACTGTTCAGGAGATTGCCATCTACATTCATAGATTTCACAATCTTGACCTTTTTCAGCAGGGGTACCTGTACATTGTCCCCCCCACCCCAAAAAAAAAAACTAATTTTCTCTATGAATTTTTCACCTGATAATTTGAAATATATGTTTTCTTCGTAGATGGTATAAAATTAAGATTACTGTTAGATGGGAGGACAATGAAAAAATTTCCCTAGGAACTCCAGCTAGAGTTGTTCAATACGAAGGTAATTTGTTAAATCATGTCTACTTTGCTCATGCCTGTCTCTGTGCCCCCCTTGTTTGTTGCATATTATTTTATAAAGAGTGAAAATTTGAAAGGTTTTAGTCTTGTCTAGAGTGAAATGAGGGTGTACATTAAAAGGTATCACAAAATACCTGCAAATATGATTATGACCACGACGACTTATGTCTCTTTTACACTAACATCATATTGAATGAGTGTTTGAGGGAACTGGGCTATACATCATGGCCTAGGGTTCCTGCTCCTTCTGCCAAGTACTAATCCATAGTTGACGGCTGTATCTGATCTTTATTTTTTTCTTGCGCTGCTGGGTTGATTTCTTTTGGTTATAATATAATATAATATAATTTTATTACATTATTTTTCATTTATCTCTAGTGATGAGTGACATTTCAGATTGAATACCATAAATTTCTATAATAAATTAAAATTTTATTTAATTTTTCTTTCCAAGATTAGTTTCTGATGGTATTCGTTACTGAGTGTAAATTGAATTTTGAGGGAGGAAATGAGGCTTTATTATGCAGCTATTTTATAGTTCATCATCCCAATGGACTTTTGGAATATAGTACAAAGCAGACCCTTGTCCAATCTATTCAATTTGGAGAAGCAGGTTTTTGTATCAATTCAAAAGAAGCTTAGAGCTTAACTAGGCTTGTGACCTTTTGTGTGAATTATGGTATAATGAACAAAAAAATTCATGGCACAAAAGTAGCCAAACAGAAAAAAAGTGAAAAAGATTAAGCATGCTGGAAATCTGAATTACATATGTGGTATGCCTAGGATATTTCATTGCGTGCCATGCATGAGATTGTGGAAACCTAATCCCTTTTAAGTTTGAATATACTCCTCTTACTTCATTTTCCTTCATACAAAAGCTATCAGAAAGTCTTTCTCTTATATACTGAACGAATAACTGAGGTAGGGTTCCTTTTTTGCAGCTCCTGATCTGGGCTCTGGTAATTTATATGGTATATGGAGAATTGATGATGCAGACCACAGTTTCTCAACACATCCCTTTCAGATAAAATATGCTAGACAGGACATTCATTTATGTATGATGATCTCGTTCGTTTTATCTCTTGGTAAATTTGAGGTAGCAGTTCCTTTCTCTTTTTCACTATTTTATAGGGTTATCAATTGGAAAAGAAACCTCTTGAGGTCACAACTGTTCTTTGGTTGCCAAGTTACCTGTTAGGGAGATCCCCAAGGTCATATACCTCCTGTCGACAAGGTTGACATTCTAATTGCCATAGGTTGTACATTCTTTATACGCACTTGCACTCGCTCCTTCATACACATGCACAAGCATGCACAGTTGTTGGCAAAGAAAAAAAAATAGAATGGGAACTAATTTGTAATTTTCGGTTGTCAAGTGGTTGTCAGGTTGAGGAACATACTTTATCTTGACACTAGCTTAATACTTAGTTTTGGGCTGATGCACAGCATTTTGCTTCTATGGTTAAGAGGAGCACTAGAATAGCCAAGATTAACTATAACTTCTGGAAAGATGAAGTAAAATACTAGTATTTTTCACTATTCTTCCCTTGTAGAATCTATCATTCTGGTCACACTGAACTTTTTTGTATGGAATCTATATGCAGGGTTTACTGGCAACTGCTGCTGTTTTGAAGTTTGAACTGATGTTTGCTCCTAATTTGGAGGATGGGTGAGAAATAGGAGCTGTATATTGATTGGCCCATTAGTCTGAGGCAAAAGAATTGTTTGTTTCCTTTTTGGTAGATTTGTCGTTGCTGACATTTATATACTGACCTGAGTGCACCATCTACAGTGTTGGATTGCAAGCTTCTCTGGATGCTTCCCCTGCAGCTGTTCATGAATTTCGCATTCCTCCAAAAAGCCCTTTTAGGATTACATTCATATTGTCCTGTCCATTTTGATGCCTTGCATGCAGTGCTTGTTGATGTAAGTGTACATGTCAGTCTACTGAAAGCTGCTTCTTACAGGTCTGCTTTGAAGGTAGCAAGGTTTGTTACATAGTCTTATTTGCATATGATTGGCATAGGATCTTATTTTAGCATTTGTAATTTCTTTCAGAAGATCATTTTAATCTTTTTTGATTGTAAACTTTATGTCATGTATGCTTCTTCTTATTCTTCTTGGTGTTTTTTTGAAAGTATGTATGCTTCTTTACATAGAATAACCTATTAACTTGAGCCGTTTCAGCAATTCTGGCAGTTCTGGAGGGATTGCTGATGAAAGTTATGACACATTGAATCCAGTATGTTCTTAACATTGGATTGGATGTTTCTTTCTGTTAACCATTGCTGATTATGGTGGCTTTGTTCGCAATGCTAACCATCAGTCTTTCTTGGTAGTAAGTAAGGAGATGACATTTACAATTATTGTCTCAATTTATTTTTCTTTGATTCTTCTTCAGGATTTAGGATGTATTTGTTTTCAATTGGGGAAAATTGAATCTATCACTGTGAGAGAGAGAGTCGACTGAAATGCTTCAATTGTATATCTGAACATGAACATGCGATTTACAATATATACACAGTGCTAGGCTAATCTAATCCCTGATTTCTAGCCTATGACTAGGTAAGGAATAATCAGCATTAATTCTCATGATCAGAGGCGAAGGAGAAGGGATAATAATAAAAAACAAATCAAGCCTATTTACTATTTACACAATTAATGGGATTTCCACACTCCCCCTCAAGTTGGACTATATATGTCAATCATTTCCAACTTGCCTACAAACTTTTCAAACATCTCCTTGTTCAAGCCTTTGGTAAAGATATCTGCGGTTTGATTCCATGACGGCACATGTATGAGTGACACAAGGCTCCCTTCAATCTTTTCTTTGATAAAGTGTCTATCAACCTCAACATACTTGGTTCTGTCATGATGAACTGGGTTATGTGAGATGTCTATAGCAGCTTTGCTATCAGTGTACAGCTTCATTGGAAGTTCTAACTCAATCCTCAGTTCTTCTAATACCCATTTTACCCATATCTCTTCACATATACCATGAGCTACTGCTTGAAATTCAGCTTCCGCACTGCTCCTTGCAACAACGTTTTGCTTCTTACTCCTTCATGTCACTAGGTTTCCCCACACATATGTGCAATATCCTAATGTTGATCTTCTATCATTATGGGCGCCTGCCCAGTCAGCATTTGTAAATATCTCTACATTTTTCTTCTCTGTCTTTCGATATAATATTTCCTTTCCAGGTGTGCCCTTCAAGTATCGTATAATCTTGTAAACTACCTTTAAATATTTCTCTTTAGGAGTATGAGAATGTTGGCTTGCTATACTTACTGCAAATGCAATATCTGGTCTAGTATGGGAAAGATAGACAAGTTTCCCAACTAATCTTTAGTATCTTCCTTTGTCAACATCTTTCCCTTCATTTTCTTCTTCCTCTTCATCTTCTTCTTCTCTATCATCTTTTTTTATCTTCTTCTTTTTTGATGTTACTTCAATGGGTGTCGTACTAGGCTTGCACCCTAACATTCCTGTCTCTTTTAGCAGATCGAGAATGTATTTTCTCTGGGATATATAAATCCCTTTTTTAGATCGTGCTACTTCCATTCCCAAAAAAATATTTCATTTCCCTTAAGTCTTTGACTTGGAAGGATTTGGCCAATGCCTTTTTAATCTTTTCCATCTCTTCATGGTTATCCCCTGTGAGGATGATATCATCCACATATACGCTTAGAATGGTTTTCTTTCCTTCCTTGTGCTTGAAGAACAATGTATGATCACTCTACCCTTAACTGAACCCTTCCTTTCTTAGAACCTGTGTGAACCTTTTGAACCATGCACGAGGTGACTGTTTTAATCCATATAAGGATTTTCTTAATTTACAGACTGGGTTCCTTTCCTGGGTAGGGAATACAGGTGGTGGCGTCATGTACACTTCTTCCTTTAAGTCTCCATTTAGGAATGCATTCTTTACATCTAACTGATATAATGGCCAATCAAGGTTTGCAGCCAGGGACATAAGAATTCCTATTGTGTTGAGCTTAGCAACTGGTGCAAATGTCTCTGTATAATCAGTTCCATAGATTTGGGAAAAACCTTTTGCCACAAGACGGGCCTTGAACTTTTCAACAGTACCATCTGCTTTGTACTTCACTGTGAACACCCATTTGCAACCTACAGCTTTCTTTCCTTGCAGTATCTCAACCTCTTCCCATATACCATTTAGCTTGAGAGCATTCATTTCTTCTATAACAGCATTTTTTCAATTTGGGGACTGTAGTGCTTCTTCAATGCATGTTGGGATTGTAATGCTATCCAAATTGGTTGTGAAGGCTTGAAATCAAGGTGAGAGAGCTTTATAAGAGACAAACTTGTCTATTGGGTGTTTAGTGCAGCATCTGGGTTTCTTCCAAAGTGCAATGGGAAGATCCAAATCTTTTTCTACTCCTCCTGGCTGATCACAGTCAGTAATATCTTCTTGAGATTCAGGATTGGTCATTGGTTCAGAATCATGGTCAGCTTCGAGAACTTCGGTCTGGTTCCTTGATGTTTTCCTCCGAACATAGAACCGATTATAGAATTTATCAGTGTTTGTTCTCTCCCCCTTATTAGGATCCCCCTTGGTGGTAGGTACATTATCTAGTTCAGGTTCAATTGTTGACTCACCAACTTCAAATGGAAGTTTTAATGGAGGTTCATACTCATAGGGTAATTCTAATTCAGGTTGGAAAGAGGATTCTAAAGAAGGCTCCAAGTCACTCACACTCTCCCCTTGAGTTGGAGACTTCAGATAAAAGGATTCATCTTCATGGAAGGTGACATCACAGCTAATAAAGAATTTCTTTGTGAGAGGATCATAACACTTATACCCTTTTTAGGAAGCATAATATCCAAGAAAAATACATTTAACGGCACGGGGGTCAAGTTTACTATTGTGATGAATGTGAACAAAGACAGTGCACCTAAAAACTCGCAGTGGAAGGTTATTTTCAAGGTGAGGAATAAGATGGGTGATGTGAAGAACCTTAAGTAGGGTTTTAAAAGATAGGATTCGGCTAGGCATTCGATTAATGAGATGGGTGGCGGTAAGGATGGCATCACCCCAATAAAATTTGGGTACATTATGGGTAAGAAGAAGGGCTCTAGCAACCTCTAAAATGTGCCGGTTTTTTCTTTCAGCTATGCCATTCTGTTGGGGGCTATAAGCACAAGTATTTTTATGAACAATTCCATAGTGCTGTAAGAAATTGCCTAAAGAGTTATTGATAAACTCAGTACCGTTATCGGTATGTTGGATTTTAATAGAGGTGTGAAACTGGGTTTGAATCATTTTGTAAAAGTTGATGAATACAGGGACAACATCAGTTTTGTCTTTAAGGAGAAAGGTCCAGCAAACACGGGTGTGATCATCGATAAATGTTATAAACCATTTTTATGTGTTTTGTTGGTAGTTCGGCTAGGTCCTCAAAGGTCACTGTGAATAGTGGTGAATGGTTGGGAAGGTTGGTAAATATTGCAAGAAAAAGTGGTTCTATGGTGCTTGGCAAGTTCACAAACATCACAATAAAACTTGAAAACATTTTTATTAAAATTAAGAGAAGGGAACATTTGACTCAAATACTGAAAATTGGGATGACTAAGATGTTGGTGCCATAACAAAATACTATTATCCTTAGGAAAGGAAACTTTATTGCAAACGCTACCATACTCGTTAGAGGATGCATCAAGGTAATAAAGACCATCAAATTCTCTAGCACTGCCAATCATCGTCCCCGTTGACATTTCCTAAAACATATAATAGTTGGGATAGAAGTCAGCATGACAGTGTTTATCCTTGGTCAATTTTTGCATAGATAACAGATTATACATCAATTTTGGAACATGAAGAACAGAATGAAGAACCAGCTTATCGGAAACTTTTATGTCTCCAACACTGACGACTGGGGATATTGTAGCGTCAGCAATTTTAACCTTAAGGGAGCCACCATATGGAGTATATGTGGAGAATAATTCTCGATTATCCGTCATGTGATCAGAAGCACCTGAGTCTACAATCGAGAGATTTTCAATACACAGATGTTGAATGACATGTAAGGCTTGTAGGAAGTTCCCTTTGTAGACTACTGTGGCTGTTGGTTGTTTTGTGCTAGGCATGTGGAGGGTATTAAGAAATTCCATGAATTTGGCAAACTGTTCAGGAGGGAACTGCTGGGTGGCTGGATGTAATTGAGGTGTCATGGGCTGGTCATCACTCTTTTCTGTGCCAGTGTGATAACCACGACCCCTTGGCTTCTTTGGTTTCCAGTTTAGGGGTTTGCCATGAATATCCCAATAGGTATCTTTGGTATGACCTGTCTTTTTACAATGTTCACAGGTGGGTCTATTCTTCTGGCCTCTTGGATCTGCACTTTTAGTGACAAGTGTTGATGGTTCAGGTGCAGTAATGGTCCCCTTAGCATCAGTTTTCAGCATAACACGCCGACATGCATCTTCACGTCTTACTTCAGCAAATGCTTCACGAACAGATGGTAATGGTACGAGACTCAGGATCCTCCCCCTTACCGCATCAAGTTCTGGATTGAGTCCTGCTATGAACTCAAATAGCCTTTCTTTATCAATGCGTTTTTTATACTGGGCAGCATCCTCAGCACACTTCCAGGCATCTTCATTAATCAGATCCAATTCCTGCCAAAGAGCAGTCATTTCAAGATAATAATCATTAAGGTTACGAGAACCCTGACTCATGTGCCACAATTTAGTTCTGATTTCAAACATTTGAGAAACATTTTCTCCATCAGAATATGCCTCTCGTACAGCCTCCTATATCTCTCTTGCAGTAAGTAGATACATAAAGCTCCTTTTTATTGTTGGAATCATCGCATTAATGAGCCAGGAAGTGACCATCGAGTTTTTATTTTTCTAGAGGCGAAGGGCTTTCGGATTTGAGCCATCTGGAATTACAGAGTCGCCATTGAGGAAGCCCAGTCATCCACGACCTTTGATAGAGAGCTTCATCATCTGTGCCCACTCCCGGTAATTGTCTCCGGTCAGTTTTTCAGAGACAATGAGGATATTTGAGCCCTCTAAGCTCGGCATCGATGCATACTGTCCCCCTTTCTGGCTCGAAATAAGACTGTTGAACCCCCCAGAGTCACTCGCAGAGTGGTTCGTTCCTTCTTTCTGATTTGGAATCATGCTATCAGAGCCTCTCGGGTCAGTCGTAGATGTTGTCTGGGTGTCGCGTACTGCTCCAGTCGGCTCCATCTCCGTTTCCGAATCAGATACGTTTTCGATCTCTTCCTCAAGCTCTGATACCATGTGAGAGAGAGAGTCGACTAAAATGCTTCAATTGTATATATGAACATGAACATGTGATTTACAATATATACACAGTGCTAGGCTAATCTAATCCTTGATTTCTAGCCTATGACTAGGTAAGGAATAATCAGCATTAATTCTCATGGTCAGAGGCGAAGGAGAAGGGATAATAATAAAAAAAAATCAAGCCTATTTGCTATTTACACAATTAATGGGATTTCCACAATCACTATAGGTGTACTACTAGTTAAAGTGATATTTTCTAAATACCCTACTTGTAACTTTTTTTTCAAATTATGTATCACTTGTTAGGGGGAAAATAATAAACATCCCATGCAATGCACGGGAATGTTTTCAGTTTTCATGAATGTGAGTCATTTTAGTATTTTACTAGCTAGTTTGTCAGGTCTATATGCATGATTTTGCACCTTTTTGTTATCAGTAATGTTGCATTCAATTATGCATCAGAAACATGGAAGTTAATGTCTATACATATTTACTTACCTAGATGCAAGCATTTTATGTCGTGCTTGGAATGCCTTTTCCTATTAATTTATACTTTCAATTGCTCAGTTATATTTTGATTACTATCTGAACCTGCTTTCCATGAAGATGGTGGTACAATTATGACAATTTTTCTTTGTATCAATGTAACTAAAGAACATTTTGAAATGTCAGGCTTCCAGGCGCTACTTAAAATTTGTGTCTAGCTCTGAGAATGGGGTAAAAATCATTGAAAAAAGCAACACGGGGAATTTAGTAATATTCATGTCGTTTTATTAAATGATGAGGGAGTCAAGGAGAATGAAACTCACCCTTTTAATTTATATTGTTTTAGTCCTTCATGCATTCTTCTTCCTGTAATAACAATGCTTTGTGTGACTGATTAGGAAGCAAGTGGGGTTACTTCTGAGGTTGCAAAGAATGTTGCAGTCGTTAAAGCACTACTAACTTCTTGTGATATATGTCTTAAAGAACTACAAAAAATCAGCAAAGCAGTTGGGCGAGCCATTGACTTTTGTGAGTCAAAAATGAATAATCCAACGTTAGTAACTTCTATTCTGCAAGCAAAGCCGCTGGAAGCAGATGTTGAAGTTTCAGGAGAAGGCAAGCCACAAATTGTTCTTGAGGTCCTTACATTCTTTAATCTTGCATAGTATTTCTTATTTTATTTGGCCATTTATGCCATCTCAATGCTTCCTTCTTGATTAGTTCTTACTTATTTTTCTCTTGCTTGCACAGAGAGGAAATGGTCCTCTGGATCTTCATAATGCTGAAGTTCTTTGTTCCTTATTCAAGAGTGAACTGATGGGTTATTATCATTCATTTGGAGATCAGTCCATGTATTTATGGAGCATGTTTCTTAAGTTCCACAAGTTTGCTTTCTATCAAATGTTGTAGGATTTTATTCTACCTAATTTTGTTAAATTGAACTGAACAGAGGACTGATTCTCAATTATGGACCAGCTCTAGATCCAACCATGCACATATATACATGAATGTATCATGAGCTTGGTCTAGTGTAACTGCCTGAAATTATAATTTTAACTCTATAATGATAGGACAAGTATCATGGAACTTCTGTTTGGCTTGCTTGCTTAGCTGATATTAACTACTTAGGGATAACAAAATGAAGATTCTCGAGTTTTTACGTGATGTATGGGCTAAGGATCGGAAAGCTGAGTGGTCAATATGGATGGTGTATTCTAAGTTTGAGATGCCTCGTCGTTATGTAAATAGTGGTAGTGATGAATCTTCCCGCCGTGGTGTACATAGAAGAACTGCCAGTTCATGGCAATTACCTGATAATGTACGCGTGTGTCTGTTCCTTTTGAATGGAAAATGATAATTCTTAATGTAAAAGGCTGCATATATTATAATTTTGTCCTGTAATTTGCACAGCCTCCTCAAATTGCAGCTACATGTGCTGATCTTCATCGAAAGAGCATTGCACAGATGAGGGTAAGTTATTCCCCTTTATTAATGTGGAGTTTGGACCCCTAGCTTCAACTTCTGATTTTCACACGGGTTATTAATTAATTACTGCTTCATTGCAGATCAACAACCGGTCAATTCAAGATATGTATATCTTTGGAGATCCTTCAAGAGTACCAGTTATGATTGTAGACCGTATGATGAGCACACCACAGCGTACTAAAAGTGAAAATTCATACCTAAGACATGTTAAACTTCTAGAATCACTTACCTTACAAACTGACAGCTCTATCACTGTAGACAAGAAATCCACACCACAGAGTAATTCTCGTGTGTTAAAGATTGTTGTCTTTGTGCATGGATTTCAGGCAAGTTTGGGGAATTTATTGCAAAACCAGTACCTTGCCTTTAAGCGGGAATTGAGCTTTTTAACTATGCATAAGAATTTTAGAATGTGGTTTAAAGTCATGTATTGATGAACCAACTAAGGTTTTTCTAGACTATTACCAATTTAAGTTGTGCTTTACAAATTTCGAATATGGGAGTGAATGAGAAAAGATGAAGGAGCTGAGGGATGAAGCTAAACTTTCTTGATTGTTCTTTAGCCTGAGCTTGTTTTAGGTAAGCCCGACTTTAAATTAGTCTCGTGTTATCTTAATTTATTAGGGAAAATGCACCAGTGCTCCTTATACTCTGACTCATTTACCAAAAGCCACCAATTACTTTGAAATCCACGTAATAAACCCCTGTACTTTAACTAACTTGAAAGTTAAAAGCAGACCTTTCCATCTACGTTCTATTGGAACTTAACTAAAACCCCATACGACCGTGTATGGAAGGACACATGGCATGTTCTGATTAATTGTTCATTTACAATTTATAAATGATAAATTATAAGTGGCATACTGGAATCTGTTGAAATCATGTGTTGGAAGCATTGACTACTTCCATGAATGCTATAATACATGGGGTATATTTTATGGATTTTAAATTATATGGTTTGTTGTCTACAAAGTGGTCAAAGTACAGGGGTGTCTGTATTTTCCCTAACTTGTTATATAAATTTCAAGTAAAAGTTACAAGAGTACAAGTCAATAGCCATCAATTTTTTGTAGTTACATATAAATATATTTCATTCAAAATACAAAATACTGTTTAATGGGAAAGTTTGTCTTATCCTAATGAAGTTGCTGATCAGATTGTTTTATGATTGAGTTGAACTGACCCTAGCTCAGCCTATAGTAGTAGCTATGTATGTTCTGTTTGGAGTAGTTTGGTTCACTCTCCTATTGTAATCTTGGTGCATTTGGTTAATATAGTACTATATAATTTAATATATTGGAGACATCATAGTGTAAGTGTGCCAAGTTCAATTGCATCGTATGTAGAACAACATTGCTGGATTACAATTCATCTATATTTTCTGTTCAGTATTTTAATTGGCTCGGAAACTTGGTGAGTTACTCAATACTTCATTACTCAAAACTTTATAGGGGCATCATCTGGATCTACAGCTTATCCAAAATCAATGGCTGTTGATGATCCCAAGGCTGAAGTTCTTATGTCCAAGGTTAATGAGGATAAAACATCTGGAGATTTCAGAGAAATGGGACAAAGGCTAGCTCAAGAAGTTATATCTTTTGTTAAAAGAAGAATGGACAAAGCATCAAAACATAGGAATTTAGAAGATATTCGGCTAAGTTTTGTTGGACACTCTATTGGTAACCTCATTATAAGAACCGCTATTGTAGGTTGGTCATGCATTTATTTAGATGTAATGCTGTTCGTCAGTTTGACATTTAGTGCTAAAATATGTTCTGTTTGCAGACAGCATGATGGAGCCATTTCTAAGACTTCTTCATACATATGTTTCTGTATCTGGTCCACATTTGGGGTATCTCTATAGTTCAAACTCTTTGTTTAATTCTGGATTGTGGCTTTTGAAGACACTGAAAGGCACACAATGCATTTATCAGTTGACTTTCACCGATGATTCAGATATCCAAAATACCTTCCTCTATAAACTCTGTAAGGTAGGGAGGTCCTATGAAAGTCAGGGTCAAATGTCTCGGGCCCAAGTTTAGTATTACTTATTGCATGACTTATTTTTAAGAAAGTTGCAAAGCCATTCAAATTTTAATTTTGTTGATCAGCTTCTGATAACCTCAAAAATCGTTTCAACAGCTACATTGTGTTCATGTGCAATCATTGATGTCTGTGACTTTTGGTTATAGTATGTAAAGGTCAAGGTGGTCGTGAGGATGGATTGATACCAAAAAAAAAAGGATAGAAATGGCTATTAGGACATTTTCTGAGGTTGAGGGATCTAGATGCTTAAACCTGAAAAAATAAAGAGGTCACATGCATTTCATCTTTAATTTAATATTTGCTGCGACAGAGAGATGAATTGTATATACTATTGATGGAGGTTTTGATATTGTTCCTTCCTTTTATTTCTTTCTAATTTCAGCAGGAGACGTTGGGCCACTTCAAACATATTGTCTTGTTATCTTCTCCTCAAGTATTTATTTCTCGTGGGTCACTTGTAAATTGAACGCTTATACTGATATTTTGTTAGAAATTGGGTTATTATTCATCAGTATCATAGTTGAGCTTAAACATGTCTGAGTAGAATAGAACTCCTTCAGTGGGTTCCATGGCATGTATCAGAGCAAGGCATACTTTTTTCTTCTGGGGCAAAGAAATCGAGGTCATTAGACCTAGAAGAAGCATGCTCTCGTTGAAATAATAATATGAACTATACCACCGGATGTTGGGTTCAACTGGTAAAGAACTTGTACCAACTTAACTAGATGTCTCAAATTCAAACCCTGAAAATCCAGTATTGTTGGTAGTAGAGCTTTCGCTCGAAAGGGTCCTATTCCGTCATGATTCATAATAGTCCAAACTCCTATTAAGTCCCCTCAACTCTATGAGAAACAATTCTAGAATACTAGATATTCCACACAAAAAATTAGCATGAATTACAAAATGGTCTCGACACTCCTAAGTTCCAACTCCAGAGAGCATACAACAGGGATTTTGATGATTGACGTTTTAAATTCTGCAAGCGTTTCTTTATGCTGGAAATGAATTAATTGTCTTCAAAGACAAAGGGCAATAAAGTTTTTGCATTATACTAGCAGCCTAGCAGGGCAGCGTAATCTTTTTCCCTAATTAGGGTCTAATAAAACAGTGAATTTTCAAGTGAAGGTTAAAGCATTGCATAAAAGTGAGTTAAGTGAGTCCTGTATACCTTTTTTCCCTTCTCTTCTCCCCATTTTACCTTTTCTTCTGGCATGCTTGTATCCACCTTAGAATTTCTTTTGGCTTGTTTAATTGACGATGCTTCTTCAGGATGGTTATGTGCCCTACCACTCTGCTAGAATTCAGTCATGCCAAGCTGCTTCAAATGATAATTCAAAGAAGGGAAGAGCGTTCATGGAGATGCTAAATAGTTGCTTGGACCAAATCCGTGCCAATCCCTCTGAGCGTCGAGTGTTTATGCGCTTTGATGTTAATTTTGATACCACTGCCTATGGCAAGAATCTGAACTCCTTCATAGGGCGAGCCGCTCATATAGACTTTCTGGAATCTGACGTTTTTGCGAAGTTCATAATGTGGTCTTTTCCAAAGCTTTTTCGATAGCAGCTGCTTGATATGCTAAGGTATGAACAATTATCATCTATTCTGACTTCTGAGACTTGTAGTTCTCAGATTTCAGTAACAGGGTGTCCCATGATTGCCAAGGAATGGTTTAGTTGGGGGTCAGTGATTATGGACGTCTGAACTATATGTTTATTCAGCTTCAGCATGTTAGCTTCAGACATCTACTTGGATACGTAGCTTTAGGCAGGGCTTCAGGAATATACATACATACATACATATATATATATATATATATATATGATGTAATTATATATTGTAGACTTAAATACATCTCTAGCAGATATAGGTTAGAAATGCTTTCGAGAGATATAGGGGAGAGTAGGGCTGTGCAAAAGTCTTCCAGTCCTGTCTGGTCCAGTCCAACCCGAGATGGTATCAGTCTTGTTCGGTTTGTATAGTCACTGGTCCTTCAGGACCAAAAGAATTAAAAAGACCAGACTATTTTTTCGGGTTGGACTGGACAAGAGACCAGCATCCGGACCACTTGGTCCAATCCAGTCCTACTAATTTTTTTATTATAATTATAATTAATTTATTTTTGACAAATGTTTAAAGTGTAATTGATGCTAAGGAGATGATTACATAAAGATTTATTAAGTTTGTTTCTAAATTGTTATTGTAATATAGTGTTGTTAAATTTTGTTGAGTACTGTTTTTGTTAAAGTTATAAATTTAAATAATTTAGACTATAACAGAAATATTTTTTTTCTTATTGTTAGAAGTTATTATGGATTTATTGTTATTATCAGTGTTTTTACTATCTTAATTGAGTTTATTATGTTGGAATGGATTATTGCCTCTCATAGAATAAAAAGAGGGAAAAAAAGCTAAGTGAGTACTAGACTGACAGGACCAGTCTCCTAGTCCCATGGACCAAGTCCAGTCCTGTTAATCTTCAGGTTATCACTGAATAAGATTGGACTACGGGTTGCCTAATCCAGTCTTTTTCATGAAAGAGTCCGGACTTCGGGTTAGGGTGAAGTCCAGTGCCGTCCTGTCTTTTGTGCAGCCCTAGGGGAGAGAATCCACAGTTGGAAGTTGGGATGCACGAACAGCATTGCGATTATCTGACATTTTTTCCTCTCTCTTCAGTTTCTTGGGTTTATTTATTGCGTTTCAATCAGCCATCAACTTAGCTATCGCTTAATTTGGATGCCTTAAATTTCTATGATTCGTCAGATGAGGCAAATTAACCATTATGCTACAAATATATATATATATATATATATTTCTCAAAATATTATAATTTAAAAATTATTTACCAAAATACTATAAGTTAAAAACTTGGCTTGTCAGATTTTCTCTTTCATTTCGTGCCCGCAAAAATTGGCTTGCATCTCACCGAGTTTATGTCATATTCTTGCCTACTTTTTTTTTCCTTTCTCTCTCCTTCACGTGGTGCTATTTTCATGATTCTGAAAAGTATGTTGGCAGAGGGTATTAAAATAAGAGAGAACAAAGGTGAAATATTAGAAAAGTTATGAAGACTCTAATGTCAATGTCAATGCTTCTCGTGCATCATGGGTAGTTTTTTTAATATTGATTAATGATTGGCAAAAATACTAAAATATTGCATAAATAATTAAGTATTAAAATACTATAAAAGAAAAAAATATTTTTTAAGATGCTATAGAAGTAAAAATTAATTTTATAGGAATGTACACAACTTGATTTGATTAAAGTCAATTTTCACATTTTATTCCCTACCCACCCCTATCCTAATCCATCATTAGTTAATAATTAATTTTATTAACATAATCATGATGATAAAATAATTATTTTTATGATTACTAAATTATTTTTTACAAAAAAAATTGATGGAATAATCATTAATGAAATAATAAGCTACTAAATAGATTTTTATTATTTTATATAATGATATTTTTTGTAATTAATTTAGATTGAAGTAGAATAAATAATGATTTAAAAGTATAAAATAATAAAATGAATCAATAATAACGAAAGGCTATTGTTTTTTTAGAATAATTAAAGATTAAATATTTTTACATTAAAAAAACATAATTTATGCATAATGGCTTCCTGTGCCACATTTTGGTCTTCTTATAACACGGTGTGATAGCCCTTGTCTTGTAGGCTCTTCGTGTTGAGATTTTGATGATTCTGCAGTTGGTACAATTGGTGGGGTATTCAAATCAAAAATAGGAGACTCTGTAGGGGAGATCAAATGCTATGGAGTTGTAAATATTTCATTCGAGGGCCCTCCACGTTCAAATGTGTAATCATTATATTTGGCTACAAATAACAGTGGATCATCAAATAAAGAAGTGAATGAACCAAATTGTTCAATATTTGGAGAGCTAAACTAGTGGGACAAGGATGATGGGGGCATGTGATGGGATTGAGTAAACAAGTTAGAAGAAGAAGGGCATCCTTGGTCTTGTTCCACTTCATCTTCAATGGCATCAGGTGGTTGTGTAAATAAATAGCCTCCACGTTTCCTACTTTGTCTACCTTGAGGTATATGTGGGCGTGGCACATCTACTGCAGGTGGAGCAAGTTAAGGGAACATTGTGAAGCGTTGCTCTCCTAACACAAGTAATATATTACGTTGGTCTTGACAAAACCTTTCTTAATAATCTATTATAGGTATTTGTAAAGGGTTTTGAAGACTTAACTTATATAAATCTTCTGCTATATTTGCCTGAAATTAGTTAAAAAATATTAAGAAGTAGGAATATCAATTGTAAAAATATAATGATAGTGAATACTTACTGCAAAACCAGTTGTAGCAGTTCTTGAGCTAATCCACCTTCGAGTATGTCTCCAATACCATCGCATGTACTCAAATGTGTGATCTAACGGCTCGTTTGATATAGGAGACTCTACAATAGCATGTTCCCATCCTTCCCATGCATTAATGAAGTTTGCATACTCCTTAATCCAATTTGATGATGTTCTTCCCCTAAGTTGTAATGTGTGGACATTCCCTAAACTAACTGGGGGAAAAGGAATCGGTTGTTGAAGACCAAATTGTCTCATGACATGATCAGGATGATGCCATTCTATTATGTGAAAGCATATTAAGGGAACTGAAGCCCTCCAAATCTGTGGTGTGACTAAGTAATAACTTGGAATCAAAAGTTGCACCAATTGAGAATCATATGGTTTTCAAATTATCTCATCCTCCGCCATTGCATTGAGCCAAAGTCTATATTGTTGTAATGCCATAGCACTAGGACGAGGTAGTTGCCCCACATTTTTCCATCTGTGATTAATTTTTACAACTTGTTAAATTTATATTATTCAATAAATAATATAAACTCATGTAAATGAAATCCTAAAATAAGCACTACCTAAATCCAAGAGGGGGTATGAGAGGATAGATATCTGTTTGTGTATCTGGAGTTGGAGGTCGCTCTGGTGCGAGCATCGAAAAGCGATCCCATGTCTACAAGTGAAGTAGTGCTAAGCATCCACCTATCCCTTGCTCAGTTAGGTTGGTGGCATTACATAACTCTCTATAAAGATGTGCTAATACTACAGATCCCCATAAAAAGCAACCAGCTTCTTCAAAATCCTAAAGTATTTGTGAGAAATCAAGTAAATATGGCTTGATCGTGAGAAATTATCAATAAAGGTAATAAAATACCATGCTCCGTGTCAAGCCCTTACATTCATGGGTTCACAAATATTAGAGTGTGAGCTGAGGCAGAGAGAGCGTCTAGTTTCGCTGGTGCTGGATTTTAAGGTAAGAGTTTTTAATAGGATATTTAGGGTGTGATTTTAAGCTTTTCAAGACTAAGTAAGTGAGAGAGATGAGACATTATGAGCATCCTATGACATTACTTGGAAGGTGAAGCAAAGGAGCATCAACCCATGAGTCTCTTAACCTCATCGATGATATTGTTTGATACATTAAATAAACTTTATAACCTAACCTATCTGGCATTAAATACCCACCAATCAACCTAAGTATGTAAGCTCTTGTGAATTTTTGAACTTGTACATCATTCGCATCATCTGGAAGGTAGTGAAAGTGTTCAGCTAGCCAAGAAATTACAAGCCTTTGTCCTAATATTTTATCTTCTGGTGGTCGTATTCCAAGGAGCCATTCATAAACATTAAACTAATTCCAGTCTGTTTTACCAGAGACAGGAGTTCCAACACATGGACGGCCTAATTGAATAGCAACATCTTGTTAAGTTATTGTGCATTCACCACGAATGGTATGAAAAGTATGTGTCTTAGGTCGCCACCTCTCAACAAGTGCTGAGACCAAAATTGGATCGTATTCAAATTGTCCTATTCTTGCAACTCCATAAAATCTAGCTTGTTTAAGGTACTCTATGATTTGGAGTGGTGGATCTATCAATCGATCCTCATGCATGACTCTTCAAGTTCGAAGGATGCGATTGTGCTAAAATGATTAAACTTGATAAAATTGTCAAGTATAATAATTTTAGACAAGATAAGGAGAAATGATACTTATATTGTCATTCCATACAGTCTGTGAAATATATTGTTCTTGTAAGTATAATAATGTATTTTCTTATGGGCCTGAGTTAATAACTTGCCTTGGTTGAGCCATTTATATGCTACTGCAATACAATTTGAAGAAATAAAGAAATTTCTAATAGCAAGAAGAATGTCAATTACAATTAACACTTATCTAGAATAATTAATGTCAAATTCTGTACAAATCAAACAAATTAACTTCTACATGCTTGTTGATTTGGACAAGTAGAGCAATTATAACCCATTTGTCTACATAACCCACATTTATTTGGCTCAATAGGTGTAGTCCAATCCATCTCATTACGTATGTGAGTTGAGCGAGGACGACCTCTTTCTCTAATCATTGATGGGTCAGGAATCAAACTAGGAATATTGGTTTCAGGCCAATGAATCTCATCTCCTATGGGGTGAAACTCATTACTATAAGCTTGCCTTATATATTGTAAAGTAAAAATGGGATCCACGAATTGTAAATGGTTTAAGCCAACACTAGCACATGCTGT